AAGACAGACGAAAATGGACATCGGATAAAGAAGTTATGAGATTTTAACGGACCAATCCTGTCCCGGCCTGTTAAAAATAAAGTAAATATTAGCCGACGGAGTCTAAACAAAAGTTGTAGAGTACGTCTCCACCTATGCGTGGATATAAAGAACGTCAAAAACGGAGTTCGTATGAACGAGTTACAAATTATAATAGCATATTTACGTATTAAAATAAAGTATAAATCATGTATACGTACACATATATATACATATGTATATATCATTAGAAAGGTATCGACGATGCGGTCATTATAAGACTAATGTTGAGTTCTTTCGATATTAGTTTAGTACAAATATCATTAAATCCATTTAAAATAGTATTATAGAGGGGTGTTTAGTTGTTTATATAACTAAAAGGTCATTAAGTAATTATGGAGGGTAGTTTTTGAAAATTCAATTAGTATAAATAAGAGCCTTGGGCTCTCATATTTCTTGCAGCATTCTCTTGATTCAAGAGTCTTTCTCTCCTTATCCCCCGAGCATTTCGGTCCTTCGTGATTCGACTTCTCTTTCTGTAGTTTTAGTATAGTAAGGTGAGCGCTGAAGCGCTGCACGAATCTTTCTTAGAAAGATTCAACGACGAAGTTCTGCCCCTGCAGAGCCCGACTCTTAGCTAAAATCCCCTTGAAAGTAAGTTATGCTTACCCTATTTTAAATATAGTTTATATTTAAAATTAGTATTGTTATTATAAATTTATAATAAATATTTGAGCTATTATTATGACTTATATAAGTGTCGTTATAATATATTTTAACTACTCGCGGTACGGGGAATCTGGTTTAAAGGGCCGCATAGGGTTGTTGGATTTCAGAAGTGCTATACGCCAAAATAGTCCTGCCCTCCGGTGTTTTATGTCTGGCCCCTGTCTGTACATAGTAGTTGGAAAGTATTGTTTAAACGCTTATATAATAATAATAATAATAATAATAATAAGACTAATAATTAGTAACGGTAATATTAGACTAAAATCTAGTGGTGATAATACTAGGTTTCGTCAAAGGAAATTATTTTAAAGTAAACGAAGCGCTGTCCGAGTACCGAGTCACCACCTTCTCAGGTGAGTGCATAGTTACTTTCAGCTTACACATAGATATGAAGTATTTTATATAAATTACGTGCTATGTGTGCATATTATCTGAATACTTGCTATCTATGCTGGATGAACGTTTTATACATGTTTTCAATGATTTAAACTGTATATGTATTTTATATCTACAAAATATGTTGGGTAGAACATGGGTAGATGAATGATGAGGGATAAAAGCTGAAATATAGGAACATTAGTAGCATGAACCTAGTGCCCTATAGGTATACATTGGTAGCAGTGGCCCTAGTACCCTATAGATGGGCACTGGCAGCGGCGCCACAACTTGTAGATGTTTTAGATCTACGGTAAACGTCCTCGCAGATGCGCTCTAAGGACAGTATCGGCAGCTGCGCCTAATAGGGAGCCTTATGACCATGACAGTGGCGTTAAAAGGTCAATACCAGCAGAAGCGCCTCATAGGAAATGTCCCAATTCTGGCAGCTGCACCTAAGTGACAAGATTAGCAGCTGCGCTTGACCAAAGTGTCATTGGCAACAATGGACTTCATGTTGTTTCCTTAGGATGATCCTTAGGAATGAATGAATGAGAAATAGCTGGTTCTTAGGGTAAATCCTTAAAAATAAAGAAGATAATGGGGATGGGAAATTTGGTTGATTGTTTGATTATTAAAACATAATAATTATATTATTGTGGGTTGAAAACCCTATGTACTTACCAGGTTTCCCAACCTGACCCACTCAGTTTGTTTGTATCACAGGTGTCGATATGAAGTCACATTACACTGAGAGATTTAAAAGAGATGTAGATCACTAGTGTAAATAAATGTAAGTTCTGTTTATGCTTATGTTTCTGTATTGACGATGACATCCCAAATGTTTTTAAAAGTGAATAAAAATATATTTCTTTAGAAATGCTTTGACAACGCGATTATCATGTTTTTCTGGGAACAAATTCCGCAACATTTTTATTAAAAGAAGTACTCTGATTTTTATAAAGCATAAACAAAATCGGTCTTTTCTGGCCATGAAAATGGGGATGTCACAGATTCCGCACCATCAAACGGATCTGATTGATACACATGCATTTTGAGGACTTATAGTGGTAGTTTTGGGGAGCTCACTAAGCTTCGTGCTTACAGTTTCAGTTTTGGTTTCAGATACTCTGTTTTTAAAAGAGGAGCCCGGGAAGATTGCAGTGCACACACCATCTGTTCAGTCTGGGATGTTTATATTCTGATATATTTTGATAATTGCTATGATATTTTGAGAATACTGGTTATGGTTTTTATACGATGTTCGATGACTATGATTTTATTATTAAATTAAAACGAAATTTTTAGACTATATTTTTGGGATGTTACAATCGTATTTTCATAAATAGTAAAAAAAAAGACTATAAGATAGAAGATAAGCAATTTAAAAAAAAAACAATATATGAAATACTGATTTTTCCGCAATAATAAACTATTTTTATTTAGTTTGCAACAAAAAAAAGTATAATAAATAATTAATAAGGGAAAATTTGTGAAATGACAAAAAAACGTGGGGGTATTTGAAATAAATGACTAAGAAAATTGAAGTTTTAGAAAATTTTCACGAGTTTCGTTGAGAGGGTTTTTACGGAACATCTTCAGTTCTAAGGAATTGAAAGAGTTATGAAGAAATGACGTGATAGGGGTAAATTCGTAAAAAAAAAAAAAAAAAAAAAAAAAACTTAACAAAATTAATTAAAAGGGTGTTGTGAAAAAACTGTCTTATAAACATAATTTTATGGTTTAATTTGCTATAATGAATCAATGATGAAATCTCATTAGATTTACAAGAAAACACTTATCGAAATCGTTTTTTGACCATAGTTATGCGAATAACAATTCTTCAGAGGAATGTGTTTGAAGAACAATTCTTCAGAGGGTTCCTCTCAAGAATTGTTCTTCAAACACATGCCTATGAAGAATTGTTCTTCGCATAACCATGACCAAAAAACAATTTTGGTAATTTTTTTCGATTTCAAACACAATTTTTATCAAACGATCTCAAACACAATTTATTCGATTTTCGTAAGTTCAAACACAATTTTTTTCACAACACCTTTTTAGATTTGTTAAGTTTTATTTGTGTTTTTACGAATTATCCTTGCCACGTCACTTCTTCAGAGTTTTATCAATTCCTTCCTCAGAGTTAAACGAATTTCATAGAAACCATCTCTACCGAAATAGTGATCATTTTTTGAAACTTCAAATTTCTTGGTCAGTATTTTCAAACATCCTTCAGTTTTTTGGTCATTTTATAAATTTTCCCAATTAAAAGTCGTTCGTTCATTGAAAAAGTGAAGTGACCCTGTTGTTCGTCACATGATTAAATTTAAAAAAAAAAAATAAATAAATAAATAAAATGACCCTTCTTTTTCCCGAATATAAAATTTGTTTTCTTTTGCTGGAAGATAACATTAATTTTACTAATTAATGTGATTATGAAGGATTTGTTTATAAGAGATTAACTTATAGATAATTTATGAATTATTTAATTGTCAAATATGTGAAAGTTTGGTGTAAAAGATGACATGACAAACTTAGAGTAATTTCTTTTCGTCTTTCTAATAAAATTATTAATTCTTTACCCTCTTTTGCTTTTCTCTCTTGAGAACTGAAAGCGATCGAGTAGAACATAATCACATATTCACAATACACATATTTATATATGGATTCCTCATAGCCTTTCGACTTTCCATTTCTTTTTATAGAAATATTTCACCTTCGACTTTAAATTAAATTACTTGTTAATAAAGGGTAACCCAAAATGCAGAAAAACTTTAATATTCTTTGATCAAATATTTTTGCATCGACAAATTGTTAATTTTGATACAATAGATAGACTGTCACAAACTAATTAGGTAAATATAACTAAATTAGAGTGTAATTAGAAGCTTTTTATTATTGGCACTGGGAGGAATCTACACGGAAAGGCATTATAAAGACAACTTTAGTATATAGCGATGTATACTGGTTTTAAAAAAAATGAAATTCCTATTTTCATCTGTTTGAATTCTTCTTGCATACATAAGACCAGGCTTAATAGATTATTTGTATTTTAAAATTGAAATAATTAAATTCAGCAAAATATATGATCTTAAATTTGAAACCCCCAGTAAACTAGAATAATCTAATGTGAAAAGAGTGAAGAAAAGAATATATTAGATGACTAGCTCATGTATGGCAATGATGATTTTTTTGAAACTAAAAGGTCTATGATACCATCAACACATATAGAGATAAACAATTACTCATATAGAGACGTTACATCAATGTGAGCATAATGTACAAGATTAAACAGCCACTAATCAAAAAGATATGATCATATTTACCAATTAGGGTTTCTAGTGATGAAAGAAAAAAACACAGAATAGGATGTAGACTTTTATTTTAACAAAAGTTCCCAAAAACCATTCTTTTTTCGTCGAGATTCCATTGGAAAATATGCAAGACAATATTTCATAAGATCGACATGATTATATGGATTCAAAACGGTTTAAGATTATAAAAACAGAGAAATACTTAAGTTCACCTAATAATCAAACATATTAAGAAAAGTATGATTTTTTTTCTTTCATTTAATTATTTATCTGCATATCTCTACATAGAACCAGCTTAACCAGATATATCATCACCTGAAATTGGCAACAAATTACAACTATTCTCCTCGCAAAAACTCATATCGCCATGTTCACCCCCTCACCGTTGATATATAAGTTGCATCTAGTTTTAGCGTTTCAATCGAAACTCGAAACAATATATGTGTATTATATATCATATAAATATACATACAGAAATATATATATATATATATATATATATATATATATATATATATATATATATATATATATATATATATATATATATATATATATATACACGATTAACATGTATAATTTAGTGTTTTCATTCATACCCACATCCCAAAACTGATTTACGAGTACCAGTTGACGCTAGGTAACTGGTAAGATTGTCGATAAACGCCATCTCCGATGGAGCCTAACATGGGTTGCTGGTGGTGAATTTGTGTGGTTTGGGGTAAGTGGCTGAGGAGACTAGCGATCGAACCGCCGTTCTCATCGGTGGTTCTTGTCGCCATAACGCCGGCGTCAGTGTTGCTCTCTGCAAGAAACCTCTTGGTGTAGGGAGAGTTACTCGTAGTCGTAGGACCTTCTTCATTCCAGAACAAACCAGGGAGAGATCTTTTGATCGGAAGAAGATTGACGTTAACGTTAAGGTTGTTGTCATTTGAGGTTAGCATAGTATCGAATACAATGTTGTGTTCATGATTCTCGAGCATTGCATTATACGCTGATGTCGGTCTACTGGTACCAAGTGATACTGACGGCGGTATAGATGCCAGCATCCCGGTCATGGTGTGATCGCCACCATCGCTATCAACTGGTCTCTGCATATTGTTCTTCTTGTAGATTCGACATAAAACCCAATCATCCAACTGAAACAAATTAAAATCATCAACCTATAGTAATTGATCAAGAAATCTTGATCATGATATTAATTATATATAAACCCTACATAAAATAATTAGTTACCCTCAAGGAAGCTTTTTTATTGGTGGGATCACATCCTGGTGGTTTGGAGATCGTTTTATTGTCAGCAAGACGATACTCATGCATGATCCAATTCGTTTTCGTCCCTTTTGGTGGCTTCCCTCCATAGAAAACAAGTGCTTTCTTTACACCAACTTTTTGAGTCCCACCGGACGTCAACACCGGTTTATCAGTTCCGGTAGCTTTCCAGTATCCTGATGTTGCAGCCCTGTTCGGCCGAGCTCCGTTTGGATATTTCCGATCTCTCGGACTAAAGAAATACCATTCTTGCTCCCCAAACGTCGCCTTAGCTAAATCGCACATAATCAAAACCCACAAAAATAATGATCAGCTGATACATATCTACGAACAGTATAAAATGCAAAAAGAAAAGAAAAAATCTGTACACACGTTACATGTACACACGCACACACCTGGAAGCTCCCATGGATCAAACTTGTAGAGGTCCACTTCGGCGATGATGGCGACGGGAAGAGGGGCGGAGGCTGCTTTTTTCTTGAGGTAATGAACCACCAACTCTTCGTCGGTAGGGTGGAAGCGGAAGCCCGGCGGTAACTGCGGTTGTTTTGAACCCGATGATGAATCCGTACTCTCCATGTTGTTTATATTAATCAACACGATTCCGCCACCTTTAGATTTGATTAATCGATTAATTTTTTGGAATTAATCAGAGAAAAAGCATCAGCATCTTGGAGACAGAGGGAGAGAGAGAGAGAGAGAGAGAGAGAGAGAGAGAGAGAGAGAGAGAGAGAGAGAGAGAGAGAGAGAGAGAGGGAGAGAGAGAGAAAGAAAAAAAAAAATTGGAGAATATAATAAGTTAAGAAATTACATAAGCTTATCTTTATATGGGGTATACGGACCATGGTATCTACATGAGTATTAACCGTATGTATTACTATGTTTTTTTTAATAATTAAAACTATAATCGAGTAAAATTAATCGCAAATACTAAATAAATGTAACTTACGTGTTTTAAATTGATCGGTTAGACACGTACAAATAGGTTCACACTACATTAAACTCTTTAAATTTTAATGGATTAAGAAATTATTATTCTATTTTTATATATGTTTACCATCTTTTTTATACTACAAATGAAAAGGAACATACTTAAAAAGTTTATTTTTTTCATTGAACATCAATATACATCCTTTTCAACTTTTCTATAAAACAATGAATTGTTATACTCTTGTAGCTGGTTTATCATTTATTTATATAGAGAATTCATTTTTAGTTCAGCTAATATAATTGTAGCTAGTTTATCATTTATTTATAAAATGGATTCATTTTTAATTCAACTAATACAACAAGGGATTACTTATTTTATTTCTAAGTTTGTTATAAATTTGGAAATATATAATGCATAATTGGCACTATAAATTTGTCGAAAAGTTAAAAATAGGTTCCATAGTTGGTAAAAATCTCGGTCGTTAATTAAATAATAATAAAATGTTGTATGACGTATAAATAAATGTTTAATACCGGATATTATAGGTTTGATCTACTAATACTTTTGAACAATTTTTATTTATTTATTTATTTTTTTAACATATAAAGTGTATTATGCAAACCACCTATAAATTATAGCTTTATTTATGTAAAAATGTTCAGTAAAAATAATTACTAACTTCTAAAAGTATAAAATTACATAAAAATCTTAAAATTAAAGTTTTGAACTAAAATATTCAAAAAGCTCCTTGAAATAGCTTTTAAAGTAGAAGCATTTTAATTAAAATAGAAACTAAATATTCAGGGAGTTTTTGAGATTATTTTTGAACATTAAGGACTTTTGTAAAATAATTTTCTGCAAAATAAAATTTTTAAACTGTGTTTGTATTAGCAAAATAACTTTTAATTTAATTTTTGCATGTAAAACAATAAAAAATCACGGTTTTGTGATTTTTAGAAAACCCTTTTTCTTCTTCTATACCAAAAATCATTTTCAAAAAATTATCCAAATACTTTTTGTTTTTTTTTTGTTTTTGTTTTTTTTTTTAAGAAAAATTAAAAAACAAAAGTTGTTCTAAAAGGAATTCCAAAAACCCTTCAAATTGTTATTGAGATGAATATAATAAAATAAAAACTAAAAATTCCTACTCCTAAATATTTTTTTCTTCGGAAAAACAATTTAAAAAAAACTAAAAAGCTTTTTAAAATTATTAAAAAATTTGTGCCCAAACATGCTCATAGATAGTGTAGTGCGCATGAGTAAAAGGAAATTGCAAGCATTAATGCAGCTTTAAACCATGGTTGTCAAAATCGCGATCCTGATCGTAGGATCGTACGATCCTACAATCCTAGGTATGAAAAACGATCCGGATCGTAAAAGGATCGTATTTGGGGTAGGATCGCAAGTAGGATCGTAAGATCGTAGGATCGAGATCCGATCCGATCCTACCATCCTTTGATTTTTTTATTTTTTTGTTTTGCAAATGAATTTTTTTTACCACTTTATGTCTTTTATCCTTTATCAATCTACCATTTATCATTTTTTATTGTGACTTATAACTAGTATTTTGAAGTATTTATAACTTTTGAGCGAAAAATTAAATATTTGAAATATCTTTCATGATTAAATATTATAAATTAAAACTATATTCTATTTTGTGGGATCTTAGGATCTCGATCCCGATCTTACGATTCCGATCTTGCAATCCCAAAAACGATCCTAGATAGGATCTCGATCTTGACAACCTTGCTTTAAACAAATTTTAACATGTTTATTTTAGATAAATTTTTAAAATTTTAACCTAGATCAATACAATTTTAATAAAAAAAAGGTAAAAATTTCCATCCTAATTTATGCCTTTTGCATTAACATCTCTGGTATTTTTTTGTTTCAACGTCAAAAAAAAATGAGATTTAAATTCAGGGTATAAAAATTAGTTAATTACTGAATATAACTAATCATATTTTTATATAAAAGAAATATATTCATTATTTTTCATTAAAATTATTATTTATCAAACATCTAAAATTATATTCGAACAAAAAAATGATAAATTATATATATATATATATATATATATATATATATATATATATATATATATATATATATATATATATATATATATATATATATATAAAAGCAAACATGGTTCTCAGGTAAATATTATTTTGTGATCAATACAATGAGGTAACAATTTTTTGGCTGAAAATGAAGTATACCATTGAAATATAATGGTCAAAATAAAATTTTGACCTTTATTTTTGCATGAAATCGTAATAATATTTTTTACTTTCAAGTTTAATGTTGTCATATAAGTATATAAGTATATGTAAAGAATGAAGACTTAGTGTTGTATCAGAAGGTCTATCAAACATGATATTAAGTTATTAACAAAAATATATAAAACAATTTTTATTATTATTAATCTGATTAAGAGATAACATTTGAATGAATGGTTGCTTTCCAAATTAATGTACATGTCATGTGAATTCAAACTAATTTGGTGATTATGATTCAGTGTCTAGGTTTAATTATTCTAAGTAGTTGAGATATTTTTTTTCCGACTTAACTAATATTTTAAACTCCAAAATACGTATTTTAAGCCAAAAGATAAGATATCACAAATATTTAGTGTTTTATTTTATTTTATTTTTATTTTAAATATATATACCGGAGTAACATAAACATAATCTTTTTTTTTCCCAACATCTGTAACATAAATTAGATCCACTGTTGAAAAAAAAAAAAGATTCAATGTGAAAACTAAAATAAAGTAAAAAGCTATTTTTTGACCGTTTTATTCATCAACATATTCTAATCATTCAGTGTACCAAATTTGTTAATTTTTTCATTTTAAGTGAATTATACCCAAAAAGCTGATATTATATGAAGTGGTAAATTTATTTAAATCCTTCTTAATAATAATATATAAGCTGTATCATATAAAAGTGGTTAAAATATTAAGAAAATCAGTAACATACTGAAATTATTATGTTTTGTTGGTGTAGTTAGTTAACACAAAAAGAAGGAAAGAAAAAAGGACAGTTTTGTAAATTAAAAGGGTTATGACATGAGAAACTGAAAGTGAGGCGAATGAGAAGTGGGCACACGTAATGATGATGTGGCATGTGTGGGGCACAGTGAAGAGGTAAAAGGGGAGATCGGCGATCAGGAGTTTGGACTTTGAAGACGCATGTAGAGCTTTTGCTATGCCAAGGGCATCAAAAACGTCACAGTCATAAAAACATTTGGTGCGGTTTTTTTGTGACATTTTTTCATGCTACCGTCATATCATATACACTCTTAATCATAATCTTAACCAATCCACTAATTTTTTTATTTATAATTTACAAAGCGCACATAGTGCTAATTAAATACATGGGATTATACCAAATGACATATCAGGTGTTGTCATTTTTTTTTTCACGTCGAGACACAAAGATTCATGTCACGTTTGAAACATATATGAATTTAAGAGTAGTTAAAAATTAGATTAGATTTACCGTTACAAAAAACCATAGGTTTGATGACATGTTAAAGTTAAAACACATTCATGCATATTCAGTAAATTTCTGGTAAAGTTGGATTGAGTTATTATGTGGTACTCGTCGAGCAATTGGCTAATAAGTTCATGACTTAATTACGCATTGTAAATACATAGAAACATCTAAATACATATGAATACTTCCACCGCACGATGTTGTGGATTGACAAGGCATGTGCAGTGGGTGTGGTAACACCGCATCGGTTGGAAAAATCCACTGCTGAAGGTCCAATGTGATGGATTGTCACCGCACACATTAACGACTCTTCTCTCCTCTTTTCTCTCTCAACAACTATATTCTGAGTTTTTTTACCATCTATAAATACTAACATTTAACCTTTCATTTTACCTTATAGTTTTTTCTTTCACTAAAATGGTTTTAAAGAATTCTCTAACTATGTCATCCCCATTCAATTGAAACCATTCTAGTTTTACTAATGTCAAATACACTAACTAGAAACATTTCTGGTTTCAGTAATTCCACACCATAATTAGTAGCTCCATTTTACTCACCCATACCTGTTTCAGTTTTAAGAAAATACAACCATATTATTGAAACATTCCAAAAATACTAATACAAATTTTCATTTTTATAACCAACAAATCCACATAATATATGTTCCAAAATCAACCATAGTAAAATATAACACAATCATTAGAGTAACACAATAGTCATCAATGCGGAAAATCATAAGGAGATGTTGTGCAATCAAGTCAGGTCTTTCTCTTTTGAATTGGAAGTACCTGAAAATGTTAAACCACAAAACGTAAGCACAAAACTTACTGAGTTTCCACAAAATACCATATACCATACATATTGGGCCTCACCCTCATATCGAGCCCCGCCCGTCATACAAATAGGCCCAGCCTAACATACAAATGCAAGAGTCACAAAGACAACTAGCATCCTACTTAGTATAATGAGAAGACTCACCTGAAAAGTGCAGTACACAACTAACAACCTCTCACAATCAAACAAATATGCTACACACCTCGTAATAATCACACAATATAAACTCTTAGCTTACCCTTTTAATACAAGTCAATTGACCAAAAGTCATCCCAGGTCAAAGGTCAACACTCAAAATCAATCGTCAAATCAACTTTAGTAGCTTATCAAGTTGTGGCCAATCCTTAGCCACGTTGTGGCAGCTAACTGAAAAAATAGTTGGGAATCCTTACTTGCCAAGTTGTGGCCTCCAATTCGGCACATCGCGGTTTCTAGGCATG